GATACACAATCATCACCTGTACCAATATTGGATGTTTAAGATTGTGACGCCTGATGATAATTGCACATGAATGCCATCAGTGTTCGGGCTGTTGCCGGAAGCCAAGACCTTCACTCCTTGCAGCTTGACATTGTGGCAGCCATTGATGACGATGTGAAAAATCTGGCTGTTTAGCGAAGTTAATCCATTGATTTCGATGTTGTTTGAGTCAGTAAAGCCCAGTGTCTGACCATACACATAATCAAGTGTAAAACATTATTAATCAAAAAGGAAAGAAGTGATAAAAAATAAAATAAAATAAAAACCACGAGCTTCATTATTTTAAAAGCTCAGAAAAGATAAACCAGAAGAGGGAACTACTAATAGTAATGTGCCCAAATAAAAGGAATCATTTTGTTACATTCTTTTCCAGGTGCTTCCTTGGAATTTTAGTTCTTTTATCAAGGAAAGAGCGTCTTCTTCTATGCACAAAAATACTACTTTGCGAAGCCTAGAGGCCAAAGCCAGTCACTTAAGTCTAGATATCTCCCTTTGAGGAAGACCAAGACCCGCATATACATAGCATTCTATGTTTTTCCAAGAAAAAAAAATAAAAATATTAAATTTAATTTTAGTACTTGATGTATAGTTACTGTTTAGTTTATATTTGATTCTATTCAATATTGAAAACCATTATTTAGCTTAGGAGAAAGAGCATTAAGTTCCCAAATTAACTACAACTACTGTTTTTCCATGAAAAATAATTTGAAGATTTCCATATAACATGAAGGCACCAAAACAACAGTGGCCACAAGGAAACCATGGCATAATATTTAGGAAAAGAATAATGCTACTTGAACTTAATTTAGGGACATAATTTACTAACCTAGTCCTTCATAACTATTAGATTGACAGTAGATCCTATTATTTGTTGAGATTAACAATTAATTCAATGATTGTAATGAATTATATTAATAAATTAGTTCTAAATAGTATTATTGTTAGGAAATTTATGTCCTAAAATTGGTGCGCCCCATGTTTGGATCGCAGTATTGCACTTGGCACCAAAACTGTAATGGCTAGTTTGGTAATTTCACGTACCGTGGCACCTCTAGGGCAACTCTTGCCGGTGGCCTTGCATGCCCACAAACCAGCCCCTTGGCCATCAAGCATCCCACCACGTATAGAAACTCCATTGACTCCCTCGAATAGGACCCAGTTATGAGCATTTCCGATAACATGGTAATCTGAGGGAGCTAGGAGGGTGCCGTCAATAATGATAGTTATTGCAGTGTTCTTGCAATTGCCTGCAAAGTGTGCTTTGTGAAGCAAGTACCTTCCCCGTGGCACGTAGATCGTGGCCGGTTTAACTGAGCCACAAGCTGCAGCCCAAGTGCCGAGGAAAGACTTGGTTGAGTCGGTTCTGCCGTCAGGTTTGGCCCCAAAGTTGAGAACATTGTATGTCGCTGCAGTTGCAAATGATTGATTGAAGATTATGAAGAGAAGTGGAAAAACAAGCAGACTAATAGGGTTCAACATTGTCCCACTGATTTGGGGGATAAAGAGAGAGCTTGAATAATGAATGGGGAGTTAGGATGTTGAGGAGTTGAAGGGGGTGGGAGTGGGAGGGGCTATTTATAGAGCATTTGAATTGATGCATGTTTCATCTCACATGAATTAAGCAGCAAGCGAAAAGGAAAAAATTTAAAAAGCAAGCAAACTGCGCCGAAATTTGCAGGGGATATTTGCTGCTTTATAACTGTTAAGGCCAATCCTCATTTTTTGTGTAGCGCCAATTGATCTTTTCTTCCTCTTTACCGAAACACGCAGTATGAAAGCCATTTTGAAATAAAGAAGCAAAGGCAAAGTCACCTTAGGACAAGAGGGCAATACCAGCCTCCTCCCCCTCTCCCTCTCCTCCTCTTCCTCCTAAACACACACACAAAAGTCTCAAAAATCACATCTTCACCCTTAAATCTTTGTGACTTTTCGCAATGCTATGGAGGATGCATGGTACCGAATTTTATTATTATGTTTGGGGCTAAGTTATTATTAGTGGGCGAAGCTACCAAAAAAATATATATATTTTGAATCGATCATAAAATTTGAGAATGTTAGGACCAGTCGAAAACCATTTATTTTGATGTAAGCTTAGTAGGTTGAGTTATAATTTTACCCCTTAATGTGTAATGACATAATCTTTTCGGCTGGTACAAACTTAGAAAGAAAATGATATTTAGTTTTAAATCTGCATACCTAATCAATTGACTCTGTTAGATCAAAATAAACTTCGTCTAACATTATCACTAGATTAATCTAATAATAACATTAAATTTAACTCCTTAAATTAAATCCTATTGTCAAGTTATAATTAATATAGAGTGACATGAGCTGCAAAGAGGTTATGATAAGTAAACATCCCTATGGAAGCCAAAACAAAGGTTGCTTGGGATAGGAGAAAGTCAAAGGTGGTTAGTAAAGAAGGAAACTAAAGAAGGCACGTAACGCGGATGACCATTAACGGTTTGTTTTTCTCTGTGGTGAATTACCGGTAATGTGACGAAGCAAATAAACAAGCCTCCACCTCTCCTCCCCTTTTCGTGGTGTCATGTATGTACGGCTTTTCCATAATCTGGAGCGACATGAACTTCCTCCATCTTGGCCAAGATTACGCTAACTTCCTCCAACATGAACTTCCTTCATATGTTACAAGATTACGCTACCTAAAAGTCGTTGTCCGTATCAACAGTTTTTTCTTGTTATTTTTTTTTTTTTTTAATATTTTGGACTTTTAAGTCATCAAATGATAAACTAGAATGTGGAGTATAGCTAAGAAAGTAGGGTAGATATAATTCAGTTGGACGGGTTATGGGTTCTTATCATATTGACACCAAATTATATTTTTAAAATCAGCAAAACAAAAAACCAAAAAAAAAAATAAAAATAATAATCCAAATAACTAGGTAACTACCTCTCTTACTTTCCCAGAAGCTAACCAATGAGTCATTAGTCCAATGATACTCTTTATCTTATAAAAACTTTATCTTCTTGAGATCAAGGGTTCAAATTCCCTCTTCCTTTCCTTTCCCCCTCCCAAAAAAAAAAACGTTCCAAGAGGCTAAGATACATTAGCATGTAATCAACTAAAGATAACCCATACAATGCACAAGCAATGAAATTTGGGCTACAATAAAAAACGCTTTTAGCAGAGAAAATTTTAGCTAGTAAAAGTATAAATTTCTCAGGAAAATACTAGTGCCAGCAAAGTTTTATTATTTCCAGTGAAACTTTTCGTTGGAAGTAAATATATATACTGACTAAATAAGATTATTTTTAGGGAAACATTTCGAGGGTAATCCGCTAGTATTGCCAACGAAGTTTTTTTGCGAAAAATAAATTCATTTACCAGGAAATTGTTCGCATGTGATTCTTTAGTATTTCCAACAAAAAATTTGTCTGATAATATAGTTTCACCTTAAAAGTTCTTAACATGGCATAGGAAATATTTCCATAGAAATATTTTAAAAATATATGTTTGAGTTGAAAAACTATGTGCACCTGCACATGAAGGATGACCCACGCTCATAAAAACACTTGCCTGACTACCAGCTTCTGACTTTCCTCTTGTCGGATCAATAATGTATCTCTGCCAATAAAGCAGCCGGCTTCCGCTGAATGAAAATGCACACATAAAAAATAGATATACAATCTAAAAATCTCCCCCCGCCCCCCCCCCCCCCCCTCTCTCTCTCTCTCTCTCTCTCTCAATATTCTTAGTATTCTTCCATTAGCTTTTAAATTAGTTGTTCGCACCTGAATTAATATACTAGTTTTATAATACGTTATCAACACAATAGCTAATAAATTGAGTCACAACCGAATAATATTCTTTATTTGAATGGTAAAATTAAATATATAAATTTATTAGTTTCAATTAACATCATACATATTATGAAAAAACATGATGTGGGTGTTTGTTGTCCTATTTTTTAAACTACCATTATATTTAAATTAGTGTCTGAAGTATATAAAAATTTAATATAAATTATGTTCTTGAAGAACATGAAAAAACAAATCTAGTAACTGAAGTACAAAAATTTTTATTGTGCCAGAAAAAAGGACAGAAATTATAGACCTAAAGTTTGTAAATTATACATAAATTACAGACCCAATGTTTGTAAATTATTGTTATACTAGAAGATCACAATTTAATTTGTAGAGCTTAAAACTCATGCATAAAATTGTGTTAGCAGACTTAATATATTAATTGATATTTGAAAAAAATTTATCATTATATTCTTGCATTCATATTTCATCGAATTTGTTCAGACCTACATGTGTATCCGAGATGGTTAGTCGCGGCTTAAGAAAGTGAAGGTCACCAGTTTGAATTTACTATCTTATAGTTGTAATAATTATAATATTAAAATTTATTTAATCTGTAAGAAAATAAATTATTTTGAAGCCAAAAAAATATTCAAATGATGGATCTCACTGCTTTAGGATTCGATCCCACAATTGCAGACGGTTAAAAGGTTGTAGTGGAATTAATGTAATTAGTTTATAGTTTGATCCCTTTATCTTATTATGAGTACTGATTATCTCTCTCAACTTTTGAAATTTATATTTTCATTCCGTAATTTTCTAGAATATTTATAAATAGATTTTTTTGATGGCAATTCAATATAAATAAATAAGATCTTTTAATAATAATACAAGTTTATAAGAAGTACTAGTAACTTGCTAGAATAAGAAATAAAAATAAAAATAGATCTCCGAGAAAATTACACCAAATAAATTTGTACGAACCATGACCGTGGTGATATATGATTACATAAAGGAAAATAAAAATTGTCATTGTATAGAGAATAAGAATATAAAAGAGATAACAAAGAAGAGTTTATGAATTTATTTTTCGCAGCCGTAAAAGAAAATTTTATTTTCTATGATTTGTATTCTACAACATATATATAGACATGATCGAAAAGACAAATATATTTATGTAATCTTAAATTTCACAAAAAAAATTAAATGAAGATATTGAATATTTGGTGTGCACATGATCAATTGCTATTAATGATAGAGATTTGTTGAGTGTATTTTTTTTATCTAACTTTATCATTTTGTTTTATGTAGCTTTTGTGAAAATAGCCAACATCGCAAAATTGAAATTTTTGGCTTTAGACTTTTTATCACAACTGCATGTCATGAGTATTAGATGTTGAGCTTTTCCTAGATACAAAAAACAGTTGGTGACACCACAAAGGTCAAAAACAAGGCAACTCTTAAGATCGTGCAAATTCATTGCTTTTTCTTCGTCATCACATTAGTGAAGGATTAAAAAATGAGTGAGCAGCTTATTCTCAAAGATCCTTTAGACTTGTAGAAAAATTTGAAAGTTAAGTTTGATCACCATAAAACCATCAACCTTCCGAAGGCTAGACATGAATGGTTTAGCCTTTGATTCCAAGATTTTAAGACCATACACAAATACAACTCAGTAGTACATAGAAACACTGTTGAATTGAAATTATGTGGTCAGTGTATATCAGATTCAAAAAAATTAGAAAAGACCTATTCTACATTATGCGCATCAATATTTTGTCACAACAACAATATAAACAACTTGGGTTCAAGACATATAATTGACTCATAGCATGTCTTTTACTCGCGGAGGAGAATAATGAATTACTAATGAAGAATCATGAGTCTCGTCCAACTAACCACCAAGTCTTTCTAGAAGTAAAATGTCACATTTTTTCATGGTCAAAGACGAGGTCGTGGTTATAGTCGTGATAAAAATAAAAACAATTATTTTCCTCAAGGTTACTATGGAGGCCTAAAGTCCTTCACATCAAGTCAAAAATGGAGCAATATTGCACAACACTAGAAGTGGAACAATTATAGCAAAACGTAAGAAAGAAAAGAGTTTCCTGAATAAACTCTCTAAGAAAACTGAAAATAGTTGTTATACATATGGAATGAAAGAACACTAGTGGCATATATGTCGTATATTGAAATTTTTGGCAGATATATATCAAAAATCTATCACTGAAAAAAAAAGTTGATATGGACGAATTTTGGCAAGGGGATATCAGGCACCACTCTCACCGACTATCCACTAAATTTTGTTAATTTAGATGTTTTTGACTTGTCAACCCAAACGAAAATAAAATGAAAAAATAGATTAAGAATATTATCTTAAAGTAATGGATTTTATTCCTACGTGTGATATTTATTATTTTCATATTATTCATTTCTATGCATCTTCTTTATTAATAAAATTAGGTGTAAAATTTTCATATAGAGATATGGATCATAATAATTCATTATTTAACTCCAAGCTGAACGATGAAGATATATACTAAGCGGATAGTACTACGACACATACAATTATTCACAATAGAAAATATTTCTCAGAAATATCTTTATCTAAAATAAGTATTAATACAATATCAGGACCTACAGACTTGATTGAAGGCTCAGGTGGAGTGAATATGACGCAATCTTGATAAATAAAACTCTTTTTTTAAATTACATTATACTCTGGTAGATCCAGCAGAAATCTACTAAGTTTTAAAGATATTCATCCTAATGGATATCGAATTGAAATGACGAATGAGATTGGCAGAGAGTGTTTACGCATCATATCTAGTGTATCAAGCCAAAAGAATGTACTAAAAAAATTGCATACTCTCTCTTCTGGGTTATACTATACCACCATAAAATCTGTAGAAACAAATATTGTGATGCACAAAAAAATCTCTGATCTAAAAAATTTTATATTTTGACATGATTGTCTTGATCATCTAGGATCAATAATGATGTGCATGATCATTGAGAACTCACATGGACATTCTCTAAATAACGAAAAGATTCCTTTATCAAGTGACTATCTATGTTCTACTTGTTCACAAGGTAAACTAATTATTAAACCATCCCCCTTTGAAGATAATTTTTAAACCTTTTAATTTTTTCCAACAAATTCAGGGAGATATATGTGGGCCAATAAACCCTCCATTTAAGTTATTTCGCTATTTCATGGTTTTAATTGATACATCAACAAGATGGTCACATGTGTGTCTAATTTATGCACGAAATGTCGCATTTGCAAGGCGTCTTGCTAAAATAATTCAGTTATGAGCACAATTTCTAGATTATCTAATCACGACAATTTGTTTGGATAATGATAGCGAGTTTGCATCTCAAACATTCAATAACTATTGCATATCGGTAAGAATGAATATTGACTACCCTCCGCAAATGTATTCAATTGATAGCTTGGCCTATATTTGTGATGACAAAATTACCTATTTCTACTCAGAACATGTATTCGTGTTCAACCAATTGCATATCGTACATATTCACCAACAGAACTTGTTCTTAGTCTACAACCAAATATTTCTCAGTTACAATGTTTTTGATTGTGTTACATAAGTTCCAATTCCACCACCAAAACGGACCAAGATGGGTCTACAACGTCAACTTGGAATTTTATTTTAAATTTGATTCTCCTTCAATAATTTTCTTGAACCTTTAACTGGTGATATATTTAAAATTCATTTTACAAATTGTCATTTTAATGAGTCAATTTTTCACCATTAGGGAATACGATTGATTTACTATCAAAAGTGTTATATTATTATATTGAGAAAAT